CGCTATTGGCATCAAGCTTGGTGAACATCACCGCTCCTGCCAGCTCTGCTTCTATTTCTTCACGTGAGGGTAGCTGATAATGCTCGCGTTTAAGGCTTCGATTAATGTACCGCGGGTCTAGGCATATTCGCATGCGGCCATTCTTCTTCATAATAAGAACAAGTGGACCTCACCCAGTCTGACGGCTCTTCCATTTTGCATATGATGCCCTGCGAGACCATCCGGGCCAACTCTGCTTAAGTGGCGCTCGCAGTGCGTGTGGCACTTTCCCTCGGCGGCATGATCGTGGGGCGCGCATCATCCTTCATTGCCAGCGAATATGGTCTACGGATGCAGCCCAGACCGTGGAATAACTCCGGGAACTCGGTGACCCAGTCGGTGCTAACGTCACTTTCTTGAAGATACATCGTGAAACGCGGGAAATCAGCCCGAAACGTTCTGCTGCATTCAATCCGAGTAGGACTTGCTTGCCTCTCTGACCACAAAAAAACTGATATTCTCCTTGCTGCTCTCCTAGACGTAGTGGCAGACTGATAACGCCCAAATGATGTATTTTGCTTCCTTCGTAGTTAGTAAGCTACTGTGGTCGATGGCCGCACCATGGTCGGCAAACGCATCCTGCGAAAGTACGAGTACGGCAATATGTTCGCTTGCGCTTCCTGTATCCACTTTCAGTTCTGTCGGGTGCCCGGCAAGGTCCCCTGCCACCGTCCATCCTGATTTTTGGACACGTTTCTGATTTGTACCGTGAGAACTTGAATGTCTTCATCGGTAGCGTCCGAGGACTCCTCCAGTGCATCTTCTGTTGCAGCGACGCCCTAACTCATGAACGCCGCGTCTACTCCTGCAGCAAGCTGCAAAATGGTTTCTTTTGTGTGCACAGCGGTGCACGTTTTTCCAAACGCTGGGCAGCGTCTTGGTCCGTGAATCTTGCCACAGTAGCCACAGCGTCGACGTTGTCCGCTCGTACGAGACTGTCCGGCAGGCGTTTGCAATTTTTTCGACTCTCTGCACTTTCGCTTCGCTTTCAAGAGCCCGGTTCTGCGTTGCTGCCAGTTCCGCGGCTTTGCAGATTTCTACAGCTGATTCTAGGGTTAAGTCCTTCTCCTGAAGCAGGCGTGCACGTAGCTTCTTGTCGACGATACCGCACACTATCTGGTCCCTCACCATCGAGTCCCTAAGTTCGCCAAAATTACAAGTCTGTGCTTTCAACTGAATGTCGCGCAAAAACTGTTCGAAAGGTTCACCATCCTGTTGTTGCCGACTGCGCAGAACGTACCTCTCGAATGTCTCGTTGCACCGAGGCGTGCAGTAGTCTTCGAAGGCTTGACGATCGAGTCATAGTCCTCTCGTTGTTCTGCTGATAGAGGTAGGGTGTTAAACACTTCAATTGCCTCTGGGCCCGCGACGTGTAGAAAGATGGCAGCCTTCTGTGCTGGCGTCCGTTTCTTGTTGGTCTCAGTAGCTTTGAAGTAGAGTTCGATTCGTTGGCGGAACTTTTTCCAGTTGTCGGCCGGAGTATTTGTCAGTACAAGTGGCTCGGGTGGTGGTAGGCAGTCCATCTTCAGCGCAGGGTTCGACTGTTACACTTCTGACACCATGTTCTACTTTACGCGCTCCGCAAAGACACAACCACACGAGACGCTAGCTAGCAAGGGGCTGTTTATTGATGGCTGCCGCGCCGCGCGCGCGCCCTCTCTCAAGGTGGCCAGGTGAGGTGGGATCATCCCGATTTATTAAGCGGTGGCCCGCCTGGTACATCCTCCTTTTTCTTTAGGTGATGTAGTCGGCAAAGCGCGTCGGTGCTCTACGTGGCCTAGTTGATCTTCTGAGACTCGAGTCGGCTGCTTCTTGTGCCTGGCAAGTGACCTTATGCTGGGACGGGACCACGTCGGGGTCCCTTGATGGTTGACTTGCAATGGGTGGTGCACGTGCAGCTGACTGGTTCAGTAGAGCATCCGATGCAGGCGCCTGTTGTGACGGATGTCGTTCCTTTCGTGATGCGGATGCTGTTGTCAAATCGGGCGCTGTATCTGATGTTGAATGTTGTCTATGCTGTATAGGCGACGGGATTATCGGTGCGACATCCTTGTCATCCAGTGGGTCTAAGTGTTCGGGCGTCCTTTTTAGATGCTGACGATTCCTTCGATAACGCCGGCCTTCATCTGTACAGACTATGTAAGATCTAGGGCCAGCAAGTTTCTCTACTCGGGCTTCGGAAACCACCCCTTGTCGTTTCTTATTCTGACGACGTCCCCTTCGGAGAGAGGTGTGAGAGGTATGCCTTTGCCGTGATCCTGTGGATGTTTCCGCACTGACGATGTCGAAGCCGATGAGAAGTCTGGAAGTCGTCCCCGAAGCATCCGTCCCATAAGGAGCTGACTTGGTGTGCGTCCGTCTATCAGGGGCGAGATTCGATAATTGAGCAGTGCAACCCAGAACTCCTCGCCAGCGTACTCACTTTTCTTCAAGAGGCGCTTTACGACCTGTACCCCTTTCTCAGCTAGACCATTGGCCCTGGGGAAGTGTGGACTGGATATGGTATGAGTAAAATCGTATTTTACTGCAAACTGTCTAAACTCTCGCGATGTGAACTGTGGTCCTCCATCGGTACAGACTTCAATGGGTATACCGTGGCGAGCAAACATGGTCCCTAGTGTGTCCACTACGACCTGACTTGTTGACTGAGGCAACTGTTCCACTTCTGGGTAGTTGGAGTAGGCACAGTACGCAACCAGGTAACGCTTGCCCCCATGGTCAAATAGGTCGACACCAATTCGCTGCCACGGCCGCGTTGGGATTTCCCTCGATAACAGTGGCTCTGAAGGTTGCCGGTAGGCAAAGTGCTGACATGTGGCACACTTGCTAATGAGTGACTTGATGTCAGCATTCATCCCAGGCCAGTACATCAGAAGGCGTGCTCTGGCTTTGCACTTGCTCATTCCCAAATGGCCTTCATGAAGACGTTGCAGCATGGATCGCCTCAGACTCTTTGGGATTACCACCCTGCTGCCCCGCAAAAGCACTCCATCAACATATGACAGTTCTGACAAACATGGAGCTAGTTCGCCTGAGACTGGTCGTCCTTCCTGGAGGCCTCCACCACTTGCTTGAGGTATGGGTCCGCCAGGATTGCAGAGGTCAGTTCAGTCTTCGTGTTCTCACTTACGATGCTGGCTAGCACGCGAGTCGCATGGATGCATACGTCTTGTTCGCTTTCTCCGTCACTCGGTTGGGTTCCTGGAATTCGGGACAGTGTGTCCGCCACTAGCAGATGCTTCCCAGGAACATATTGCAATTTGATATCAAAAGGCATTAGCCTCAAGAAATAGCGCTGCAATCGTGGCGGCATTTCACTCAGGTTCTTTTGTGAAATAGCAAGCAAAGGTCGGTGGTCTGTTTCGACTGTCACTGATAACCCCAGTACGAACTCCCGGAAACGCTCACAAGCAAACGTCACGGCCAGCGCTTCCTTTTCAATTTGGGCATATTTTGTTTCAGCCTTTGAGAGCACCCTTGAAGCATAACCCACTGGGCGCCAATCTTGGTCATGGAGTTGAAGAAGAGCAGCACCTACTGCAAAGCTTGATGCATCAGCTGAGAGTTTCGTTTGCTTCACTGGGTCAAAAACTGCGATCACTGGAGCCGATGTCAAAGCCTTAATAAGATCTTTCCATTCTTTGTCATGGTGAACTTCCCATATGAATTCAACATCATTCTTTATCAATGACCTAAGGGCGTCAGTTCTTTTTGAGAGATTAGGTATGAATTGCCAAAGTAATTCATAATACCTAAAAACCTTTGAACTTCCTGTTTACACGACGGCTTTTGCATGTTGGCAACGCATTCAATGAGACTAGCATCGGGTTTTATTCCTTCTTTGCTGATACAATCTCCCAGGAATTTAACTTCGGCCTTCGCGAACAGACACTTTTCTTTGTTCAGTGTCAGGCCAGCCTTTCTCGCTGCCATCAGTGCTGCACGCAGGCGTTGATCATGCTGCTCTTTTGATGCACCCCAAATTAAAATATCATCGACATATACGCGTGTGCCCGGCAGGTTTTCAAACACTTCCGTCATTGCCTTCTGAAATACTTCGGGGGCGGACGCGATACCAAATGGCAGGCGCAAAAATCGGTATCTTCCGAACGGCGTGCTAAAGGTGCAGATCTTTGAAGTGTCTTCGTCTAAGGGGATCTGGTGAAACCCGCTATTGGCATCAAGCTTGGTGAACATCACCGCTCCTGCCAGCTCTGCTTCTATTTCTTCACGTGAGGGTAGCTGATAATGCTCGCGTTTAAGGCTTCGATTAATGTACCGCGGGTCTAGGCATATTCGCATGCGGCCATTCTTCTTCATAATAAGAACAAGTGGACTCACCCAGTCTGACGGCTCTTCCATTTTGCATATGATGCCCTGCGAGACCATCCGGGCCAACTCCTGCTTAAGTGGCGCTCGCAGTGCGTGTGGCACTTTCCTCGGCGGCATGATCGTGGGGCGCGCATCATCCTTCATTGCCAGCGAATATTGGTCTACGGATGCAGCCCAGACCGTGGAATAACTCCGGGAACTCGGGACCCAGTCGGTGCTAACGTCACTTCTTGAAGATACATCGTGAACGCGGGAAATCAGCCCGAAACGTTCTGCTGCATTCAATCCGAGTAGGACTTGCTTGCCTCTTGCGCATAGGGTTCCTCATCATAATTAAGTGCATATAAAAACCCTGTCGTGTCACGCCCATCATATATGACGCAGAGTCGCCACTTTCATTTCGTAGAAGATGCACTGTGCCTGATCGAAGTACGTCAAAGAATATTCGCTGATCGGTCGGGCATCCGATTGCTCCACATGCGCTTTCCAAATGCTGTTTAAACGTTGCCGCCAGTCGACCGCTTTCCGTCAGCAATCTCAAAGGCCACGTCGAAGCTTGAAAAGTCTGTCTTACCTCCGCTGCGAGCGCTGCGCTCGGAAGTAGCGTTTTATCGCTTACGTCGTTCTCGTAGGCGGTGTTCGCCTTTTGCTACATCGCTGAATGTGGCCGTAGGTGTGCAGCTTGCTCCTTGGCTAATATGTGTCGACGGGCGATAGTATGAGCGCTTCATCGCATACGTTACGGCAATGCTAGGAATTGGTGCCGTAGATTTTATTTGTTGATAATCGCCGGGACATTTTGTGCAGTGCATGTGCGGAGAGGTCTTCAGGTAAGTCGCTCGGTGTCCCACTACTAGTTTTCCACCTGCAGATGATCCATGCGCGTCTTGTTCAGTTGATCCCTCAGCGATTCATTCTGTCTGCCTAATTCAGAAGGTTGTGTTAGTTCAGTTGTTTTTATGATGTCGGCAATATAAATGCTGGACATGTGAAGTGGGAGTTTCTATGCGCGCTATACACACGCAGAAATTTATCTTTGTGTTGAAAACCGTGTACATCATGTGAACCCGGAACCCGCTTTCCTCTGACAGTCGAGCGATGAAATCGTGACGACCGAATTGTATTTCTGTACTATTTCAAACGTGGTATTGGTGTGATTGTAATTAGGTAGTCGCATGTTTAAGCCATTGGGAAAATTTGTTCCGGCAAGGCTCACGGTCAACCACTTTCGGTTGTCGTCGTCACTTCACCTTTCGGTTCGCGGTTAGCGCTAAAAGCCTGGGACCCCTTGTCTTGCGTGGTGGAACAGGCCAGCAAAGTGTTTTATTTCGCATCTCATTTTGACTGGCATGGTCGAAGCAATGCCATAATGAGCTGAACCAATGAAACTAACATTAGTTGCCTGTTGGATTCTCAAGTATAATTTCTCTACGTTCGTCATTTATTTGCGGATATTAATTATAATTGAACCTCTCATAGGCAAACCATTGATGCCGTAACTATTGAATCAATGAAACTGATAATTGTTTCTCACAATACGTGTGTTGTTTATTTGCGAATATTAATTGTTATATAATTTATCCTGCCGGGGCGAAACGTTTTATGGAAATACATCATTCTGCATGATAATAATTTCTAAGGATGTTTAACTCAAAACGTGGAAAGATGGCACTTTGCTTTGCTCGTTTTAAATTGTTAATTGCTAAGAGTATGTGATGTGGCAGTTCTCAAATATATCTCTCGTAATTTGCTAAAACTAGGCACAGAAATCATAAAACATATGCCATCTTTGATTGTTTGTCTGAACATGAACTTTGAAGTTCCTTTTCCAACACAAAAATTTTGAGGGTGCCCCCCAGTGAAAAAGCTGTCAAAAACAGCTTGAAGGGACCTGAGGGACCTTACAGACAGCATGTGAATACTCACATAAAAAAGGCGATACAAATAACTTTATGTAAAACATAGCAGACAAAAAAGCACGAATACAGCTTGGGTGTACAGTACATCCAGGAAGATACACAATCAAAGTAAAAATGAAACAATAAAAAAAATTCACATTCAGGTAATATAAACGTATGTCACTCCACTTGCATGAGCGCTCTCATGAGAGAGGGAGATTGCTTCTTTTTCCTTTCACTAGCCTCTCTCTCAGAAGAGTGCTCCGAAATGGCCAGTCAATGAGGACAATAGAAACGTCCATCTTATCTTATGGTCTGTGATCACACCCACCTTGTATATGTCATTTGGTTCAGGTTATATTGATTTCAGTTGTGCTTGTGTGTTCTAGTACATACAAAATTGTAAAAAAGACACCATGAAAACATATACAAGCGAGTGACACATCGACCAACATGTATCTTCGCTTTGCTCATCAAGTACATGCCCTTTATCTCTCTCTCTCTCCCTATATATATATAAATATATATATATATACGTATTTAAGAAAAATTTGGGAGTGTATAAGATTGCCATTTTTGTGTCCTTAACCTATTATATAATAATGTGAGTTTGTTATACAGGCCAGTAAATAGGTGCTGCTCTGTGTGAACTAAAATAACCTTTCAACATGCAGTACAGTGTATACATACGAGTCTCTTTTTTTCTGGCTTCGTTATGCTATTGCAGCATAAAGTATAAAAGAGAATTCATGTGCAAGTGGTATCATATGAGCGCTGCAACAACGCTGCAGTAGCACTTCTTGTCATGGCTGTGACTTGGAGCTTAAGAAAATAATTTCAAGGTGGTAGAGTTTGCTTGCCAAGACTCTTTGGGCATGTGAAATTATTGTGAGGTACTTTTTCGATATCATAAACCTTGATACTAGCAAATACTCTTCACTATGTGATTGCAAAAAACAAGAATATGTTGTGTAGTCATCATTTGAACGAACACTTTTTTTTTATTTGGCTTTTTTTGCAAAGGTGCACAACCGTGGCATCGGGCCGCTTGGGAAATTGGCTTTAGTGTTTTGCATGTGCTATATGATAGGATGACAAAAATGCACCTGCAGCGAGCCTTTCTGAAATGTCACATTTTGGCAATCTTATCTCTTCTTAAATTCATTTCCTTGGCCACGAATTGATAGCTGAAAGTATTGTTCTTGCAAGCTTATTCTACAGGTGAATGTCCATGCACAGCGCTCTTTCACATACTTCACTCGAGCTGGAAAAATGTTTGTGTTTCACAACTAAGGTTAGAATAGTCACGGTGATCAAATAAGCTCGCAGTAACTATGGTGAATCATGGTGACACACATATCAGCTCAAACAGAGACAGCGGGAAATAAAATTAAACTAAACCAAAGTTTCAACAATTCTAAGCACGCCTTTTGAAAGTCGCAATGTTTGTGGCTTTCAAAACCTGTGCTTAGAATGCGTAAATTTTTGTTTAGTTAAATTTATTTCACCCTGTCTCTGTTCGAGATGATATGTATGTCACCATGATTTACAGCATGCCACAGCTGTTCTTCCAGCAAATAGTGTTAGCACAGCTACGCAGTCTTCGTCTGCATGTTTCGCTATCGTTCTTTCTGTTGACCTTTGGCTAGAGTGCCTGAGATAAGTCAAATTCAAGTGAGATTTTGCTGATGTGCAAACACATTTCCTGTAATCAAAGCCACAGCATTGTTCCAGCTGTGAAGACCCGACTTCGGCATGTCATTACAAGGTGAGTGTTCTCGGAATCACTTGTTTTTCTGCTAGTGATAACAAAACAGGGGCATATCTCATAAAATACCTCCATGCGCTAAAGTTTTTTGCCCATTGTGACATGTACGTTTCATTTTTTCAGAAGCATATGAGTCTAGAGAAAGGTCGAATGAAGGAAAAGCGCCAAGCACGCACATCACTCATGGTATGTCATTTGCATGTTGAAATAGTCGGTCTACAGAATCAAAAAGTGTATAGAAAATGAATATTTTAAATGAACACATAAAAGTTCTCTTGATAACTCAAATGTGTGTTGTTCAACTGAAATATGACAATAATTAAGCACAGCTTCCCTGATGTACTCATGATGTACTTATGATGTACTCATGATGAACATGCCTTACAAATTCATTCATGCTTCTGTTCGTACTGGAGAATTGTGAATCGCTCTGAACTGCTGCGTTTAACCAAAGTGTGTGCAGCTCATTCAACTCATGCACAAATAGTTTGGTTTTGCATTCTCCACGGCCACTTGTAATATTTGCTGCGCCGACCGTTAAGTGACTAGTACTAAGAAGCAGTCTGCAGTTTACAAATCTGGATGATTCTGAATCATTTGTCATATATGGGAAAGCTTCTTCTGCAGGGGACCAATCATTACGCACCTACAGTTCTATTGAAGGCCTTGGAAATGGTACCACAGCATCAAATCATAAGGTGTTTGAGCCGTCTGACCAGGCGTACTTTCAACAAAAGATTGAGGTTCCATACACAGGAGAGGTGAGTGAATGAAATCTCTTATGATTACCTTTTTATTTATGCTAATTAGCTTCTTACGGCCTATTTGATCTGAATAGCATATGACTTCACGCATTAATCTTTAACACATTCTCGCCAGATGCCTGGCAAAGAGTAAATGTCAATTATAACAACATTGTATGAGCTGCTGCTTTCTTTTTTCAATTCTGGCATCATCTTAGGACAGCACCACAATAAGTATGTGGTGTGTGTGTTTAATATAGGTGTCATCATTGCACCAAATCTCTTTAATAAGCAAGTGCCAGTCTAGCACCGCAGAAAACAGTCTGTTGGACATTGCAGCACAAAAAGTGTCCTCGCTTCGCGAGAGACTCGCTATAAACATTTAGTGCCACAAACACATGAATGCTTGGAGTATTTTTTCATACCTAAAAAAGATCTGGAACACTTTTTGATCATGGTTGGAAAACACTGCTAATAGGGCTCCCTAGAACACTGGAGTTAAACAGTGTAGCGCGGGATGTGGCCCAGAACTTACAATTCTCATGGTTAGCTAAAAAGTGCTCCCCTTTCTCTCTACAAATGATGCCATGCACCCAAAATTCTGTGCCATGTGCCCATGTCCATGGCGGTTGGTCGATCTGGGCATCGTGGGCTGTGTAGCTACCGTGTCCGCCGTGAGATGCCGCTATGTGCCCTCACGCACGCTCGTGGTGCGACAGAAAATGAGCCATGAGTTTGAAGGAGAAAAAAAAAGGGGGGGGGGGGGGGATTGCTCAAGGTCACGATGCGTACTGATGAGGGACTCATCATCTTGCCCTCTTGTCTTCCTCCGCTTTGAGTAGCTTTCAGCGCGCTTGCTAGCTCGAAAGGGGAAAAAAAAGCACTTGAAGCGTTCCACAAATACCTGTAACTGAGCTTGTGTTTTACGGATGTTGAACATTTTCGCGACATGCGATTATTGAAGCGTCATGTGCTAATAGTGAGACTATTCCATTATAACTTGCAAAAGTGTTGCAGGGTCAAGCCACACTGGCACAATATTTGCAGGAATGCATAAATGTTTTCCACTGCTAGACACTTGACAATGAACGGAGGGGTCAGTAATGGATCCCAGTTGGTCTGTGGTAGATTGGCATGGAAAATGTGTGGTGCAACAAGCATGTCTTTTTGTCCATTCTTGTTTCTAAACTGGATATGGTGATAGGTAGTACTGGTCATTTCACATTTCAGTAGAAGTTCTCAAACGTTTTCAGACATCCTTCAGCTGGCGCAAGCTGTGGGCCTTTACAGGTCCAGGTTTCCTGATGAGCATTGCATACCTGGACCCTGGCAACATTGAGTCAGACCTGCAGTCTGGTGCTCTGGCTGAGTACAAGGTGAGACAAGCTTCGCAAGACACTCTCCAGTAAGTGTATGTGACGTGACATTTGTTGCGTGAACATATAATAAACAGAGTTCTTCGGTTCGCAGTATACGAAACAGTTTATTTCGTTCGTGCTTTCAGTTCAACAATACTGCCCTTTTTCAGCCTCAGGTTTATCGTGCACAGTTCAAACTAGTCTTCTGCATTTATTTACTCTGATTTCGCTATGTACATGCAAATTCCAGATGCAGCATAACCTAACTGCTAAATCAAAGTCGAAGTTACAGGAAAAGGAGGTCACCTGTTCAAGTGATGCTTACAGGTATTCCTCAGGTCATAGGAAGATGGCAGGGCCAGGAGTTCGCGAGTTGACACTAGTTAAGAACAACAATGCAGTTCAGCTATCCTTCTCCTTTTGTTAAACTGGGCTAGCCAGGCTTGCACATCATAAGTTAATATGCAGTGCAATCTTCGAACATGCTGTAAAATATTAGTTACAGTTTATAGATTATCAGGTTCTTTTCAAGCATTCAAAACAGCATGGTAATTCACAAGATGTCTGTATGATTGCTTCTTCTTTATTCTTATGGTTTCCTCACAGTTATCTATTTTGGCATTACTATGAGCATGTGGTTTGCGTGGACAAATGTACTTTACATCTACCTTGGCAGGTGGAAGGTGCCAGTAGCCATGAAAACGTGGTGTTTCTTCCTTTCGGCTTCCAATGCAGCTCATGTGGGTGTTGCTGTCGGCTACTCTGCTGGGCCTGATGATGCAGCGTCTGAGTGCTCGGCTTGGCGTTGTGACAGGCCTGCACTTGGCAGAAATGTGCCGGCGTGGCTATCCTCGTTTTCCTCGTATTCTTCTATGGATCATGATTGAAGTGGCTGTTGTTGGCTCAGACATGCAAGAGGTCATCGGCACAGCCATTGCCATTTTCCTACTTTCTGGGGGACGGTAAGACACACTCATTTGCTGTGCACCTTGTTAGATTTCTAGTTTCCTGCAAAAATAATCGTTAGTTCATAAATTTGGGTATTCTTCATACTTGTGACTTCAAACCTTTTTTGTGACATTGCTTAAGCTATTTTTCACTTTGCTCTTTCTAAATTTCCAGGCGACCAATGTTCCAAAATTTAACAAGGCATATTTGATTCATTTGAAATTTTTGCGTATTATAATGAAATATTTTGTTGAATATAGTTTCCTTTCTTCCCTTTGAAGCCCTCAAACCCTGAAGCCATTAGTGTTAAAGTGCCTTCATATAATTTTTTAGGAAATCATATGCTTTGTTTATTTCAGTATAATGATTAGAATATTTCAGTGTAATATAGGTTCTTGTGGATCTTATTCCTTCTTTTTTCGTTAGCACGAGCATGATTGTGTGTTCAAAGTGTGCCTGCAAATTTGAATTTGACGGCATGCTTGTGCTGTGCATCTTATTTCTGTGCATGTCATTGCAGGGTTCCACTGTACGCAGGTGTCCTGATCACAATAATAGACACGTTTACATTCCTGCTGCTGGACAAGTATGGTCTACGCAAACTTGAAGCTTTCTTCGGCTTCCTCATTCTCGTCATGGCACTCACTTTTGGATACGAGGTAGGTGCCCGCATCTCCCTTTTATTTTTTGCTGGGTTAGAATATTGTTTCTGTCGAGGCTTGCTGGAAGGCCTGTGTGATTGATTGGTGTGTATAGTGCATCACTTCACATGACGTGAACTTTAAGGATGATATATGTACCATGTACTGTACGATTGCTTGCTGTATTGATTTGCTCGTGTGGTAAGTAATTGTCATAAAATCTCTAGTATTCTATGTGTTCTTCCACATTGCATAAGAATCCTGCCGTGGTGGTTGAATGACCATGGCATTCTGCTGCAAAACTTTAAGTCATACATTGTTTTAAGCTGTGATAGCTATACTTCAATTGGAGCTAAATGCAAGAACACTGTGTACTTATGTATATTTGAGTACATCTTAAAAACACCAGGTGGTCGAAATTGATTGAAAGCCCACCACTAGGGCATGTCTCACTACCTTACTGTTGCTCTTGGACATGAAACTCAATAAATCAATCAATAAATTGATCAATCACTTGATATTTAGCTGGGAAGGCTTTTCAGGAAAATAATGCATATAGTATTCATTGCAAATTTAAACAAGGTACATAATAGAATAATATAAGTCAGGCTAGTCTTCAAAAGTGAGTTCTATTATTCTATGAAAAGAACTTTCATCAAAGGGACCTATTTTAAGCACAGACTGGTTTTGCTTTGGCAATCGCATTGTTTTTCCCGAAACAAGAAATGAAAGCTCTAAATAGAATAAAATATTTAAAATCGGCTATCTTGACTAAACACTCTCAGTGTATTGTCACTGCTTTCGTATAACTTTACTGTTTAGTGTGGAAGTTGTATGTACCTGTATCTAAACTGGTGCACCAGCACTTGACAAAGTATGCCTGCCACTGCAGTATGTGCGGGTGGCCCCGGACCAAGTGAGGGTGGTGGAGGGCCTATTTGTCCCCTGGTGCTCACATTGCGACAGCCGGGCCCTATTGCAGGCAGTAGGCATTGTGGGTGCAGTCATCATGCCACACAATTTGTACCTCCACTCTGCACTTGTTAAGGTACGTGTAAACATGTCTGATTACTTCTTGATAGTGTCTCTAACCAGTTGCCTGACAGGACAGGCTCCAGCTCTATCTTTTACTATTGCTAGCTGTGAATAGCTACATCCCATGGCTGTCTTGGTGTTCAGTGGTGCTCATTGTCTGAAGTGCTTTGTGAGGAGTTTGTTGACAGATGAAAAAGGAAGGACAAAATTTACAGTGCACAGCGTATATTCGAACTCCATGCTGTCAGATAAGTTAAGGTTTCATCTTCAGCAGCAGCAGATGCGAGTGTTGTGTTCGGAGATAATAGGCATACCATCAGCTGATTTGATCGGATGACAGATTTCATTTACATACAGCACAATCTAAAAGCTTCCATGGGAACTAGTGCCAAACTGAATAGATTCAAACAAACCTGGCACCAGCAGTGAGAAGCTAAAGCATAATAGGCTAGACAGATGGAAAAAAAGGTAATGCCTCCATGCTTATTCACTAGTGGGGATTGCCACTTGTGCAACTGAGTGTACAGCTGTGCACTGTTGGCATCTCTCCCCATAGAATGCCTGCTCACATGGTTATATTGCCATCAATCATACAAAATTAGACAACTTATCTCTTACTCAAAGTTCTTTATTTATGAAAAAGCACATTCAGTATGCTACTATGCATATCTGCTAATGTTAACACCTTTTGAAACCTGCACATGACAGTGCAAAACATTTTTTTTCGTTCAGTCAATCTTTATCCATAAAGTTGAATACTTTCGTGCTGTAAAGAAAAAGAGCCTTCTTACTGTTCAACATATTGAAAGCATCAATATTTTAGAGACTGCGATTTGCAGGCAGAAACTGCCACTTGACTTACTGTAGTGTATTATTCACAGTGACAACTTTTCTTAGCAGTAGTATGGAAGTTACATAACTGAAACACATGCCTGCTTCCCGACCAGAAAATAGTAATTATGTTTACTGATAACTTTCTCATTTGCCTTGCTGAAATAAATGCTACTTTATTTCTATTCTGAGGCTCAAACAGTTTTGGCAAGTCGAAGGTGAGATAGTGTTATTGTTCACTTTGTAAGAATGCCTTTTTTTTTTTCATTTTCTATACAGCACTGCCTTTTCAGCATGCCTGTTTCTCTTAAAAAACATGGCATATGTGACGTAGGGGGTCAGTGTGCCTTCGCAAATGGGCCAATTAGTTTTCCAAGAAAAATATACTCATAATATGATTCTAAAATATACAATAAACAATTAAGTTCTCTCTGCTTTTCTCATTTTTTGTGTACATGTCCTTACAAATGCAGTAACGATGCAAGCAAACAAAATTGAAATCGTTTGGACCCTGCCGTACTACTTGCAGATCAACGCAATTGAGCAGAAGCCCTTCCTGTGTAGCCTTTTTTCCACTGTCAAGATAAGTTGTCACCGATTATAGAGTGATTATGTTGCACAATGCTTCGGTTGTGCTTGTATTTCAGTCCCGGGCTGTAGACCGTACCGACAAGGTCCAAGTGCGGGAAGCCAACAAGTACTTCTTTATTGAGGCCTGCATAGCTCTCCTTGTTTCCTTCATCATCAATATCTTCGTCATGGGTGTCTTTGCTCATGGACTCTATGGCCGCACGAATCTCGACATTGTGAGTGTTGATGAAAAGTTCTTTACGAATGTTTTCTTTGCATACAGTGTGTCCTAAGTGAGTGCACATCACGCATGGGCCCATTAAGCTTTGTGTCAACAGTAAACTTTCACTAAATGAGGCTGAACTGGATAGTGGCTGCTTGTAGGCTAAAGCCTGAAAGAGGCTATGCTTAAAGTATACTCGGTATTTCCCTGTACCTGTGATGCGTTGAAGACGCACCGTATTGACTCATTGTAATGCAATCACAATTACAACGTGAGGGGCAACTTCTAGGAAGAAAAAAAAGCAAGTCACAGCTTTGCCGCAAAGGCAAAGCAACGAACGCGATAGCAATAAATTGAAAGGTCACGCGCAGAATGGAAAGCAGATCGAAACATGCCCCGCATTTCTCACGCACAAATGATGCACGAAACGTACTCACAGGTGTGGATGCACGCGAATAAGCGTCTCATTTGTTACTTCGATGTGTCTGAAAAGCGTGCCCTTTTCGCAAACGGAGACTGCAATGATTGCAGTGACCTTTGTGCGATCAGTAATTACAGCAGAATCGTTCCAGGTAAAGCCCGAGGGCAGCCAATACATACGATCCTCCCCTCCTTGCCACCGCGAGATAAGGGCACACGAGGGAACGTCGCTCCCCTTCTCTAAGCCGGGCAAAGTACGCGTAGGAGATTAGAGCGGGGGCTGCCACGCGATGTGGCGTGGCGACGCGCGCTCATTGCGCCGTCTTGCTGGTAATGCTGAAAACACGATCCCCCCGAGATGCTTGTGAGCAGCGGTAAGTGGTAGATATAAATACCTTGCCGTTTGAAGGGTGAAGGACGTGCTCCAGTGTGGCTCAGTGTTTAACCCCTCGCTTTCACGACGCTGAGGTCCCACGTTCGATTCCGCGCGCCAGAGTGTTTTTGTGGGTTTTTTCTTTCTTGCATTTTCATATATATATAAATACATATACATATATGGTGGGCGACGCCAACGCCGGCGGCAAAGTCCAGCTGAAAGAGTCCTTATAATTGCTATCCCAATAAAAATAACCGAAATGTAAGACTTGTCTGCATCATTAAACTTTTTAGACAACTTGAATTCAGGTATTCGATTGTAATGTGAGGGTTGACTTCACATAGCAAAAAGTGGGAAAAAAATTCGTGCGACATTCGAATAAATATGGTATACGTTGTTGGCTGCATTTTTAAAGGTGAATAAGCACTCTCCTTCGAGATATTTCATGATTATTGACGCATGAAATGCTACTAATGCTTACTGTGCCATTATTGCCATTCTGTGCAATACTCTGCCATTAATACTTTTTTGGGAGATGAGAGCATTCTGAAAACTGTACTTGTAGCATTTTTATGCAGTAGAGTTGAGGCTTTTCCAACCTTGCCACTCTGCAAATGTGTTTTACTTTTCTTGTTTTCAGAGGAATCAGTGTATGGGAACTGAGTTCCAGCACGTCTTTCATGTAAGTGGACAGCAGTGGCAGTGCAACTAGAATCAGGTGTGGCAACTTTTGTGTTCTTATTCCTCTTTTAATTTTATCAGAACAACACAGATCCTGTGGATGTGGACATATACAAGGGTGTGAGTGACTTCAAGTTTTTATTTTCATTAAATTCTGTGTGTACCTAACAGATCTGCTTGCTGTCTATGAATCCCTTGATCTTCAAATTTTTAGATTCCTGTGCAGGTGTAGTCTGGTCTTAGTTCCATGCATAAGCTGTGCACTTACGTATTGTGCATCTTTTTGAGCTTGTGTAACATTCAATTGCAACTGTTTCCTGTGAGATAGCCTTTGTCATTGCACCGCAATCGCTTCTTGTAGTGCATTCCCTTGATTACTAAATTAAGGAAGCATCTAGAAATTTTAGAACTCCTAACTTTTAGCATCTAATATAATTGCGGTACTGTAATACAAGAATAGCTTTAAATGAAAATTTTTTATTTTTGTATGTAAAAATTGGAGCAGCAAACAGCCAAGTATTGTGTTTTATCATCAGTGGTGCTTGCAGTCAATTTATAAACATAGTTCAGATGCTTCTTTTGTTGCCAGTGGTTTTGTTATCTTGTGTAATGTACACATACTTTAAGTAATGGTCACAATTTGTGGCTTTTTAAATAATAATATTTAAAAAAACGTGAAAAGTCATTTTTATCATTACTGAGGTAACTTGATATTTTTGCTGGTGCTGTTTCACATTAATGTCGCTGTTGCTTCGTATGTTACCACAGGGTGTCTACCTGGGCTGTGCATTTGGCATGTTCCCACTGTACGTCTGGGCCATCGGAATTCTAGCTGCTGGACAGAGCTCCACAATGACCGGAACTTACTCAGGCCAATTCATCATGGAGGTAGTAGAACATGTTACTGTTATCACAAATTGTTCATTTATGTTGCTCCCGATTGCTGGTGTTACAAAAAGCAGTCGCGGCTGTTAAAATATTTCTGTCTTGTACAGGGTGATTCTTTTAATACCGACCTATTTTATCTGTTAGTAGTTTTGCTAAACATTGTCTGATTTTAATTCACATGGCAGCAGAACAATCAGGAAGGATGAAAATTAGCAGTGCACCATCTTTTTTAGTGCACTAAATTGAAAAACTATCAATAATAAATATTGAAAACAATGCAATTCCGTGAAATTCTACACATAGGAGGGACTGCCGCACACTTGCAAATGCGCTTGTGTCAAGGCAACCTGGCTCATGCAGTATAGAGTGCTCCGCTTTTGTGTCAGCATACCGTGACGAACCTGGCATCGTCAACTTCTGCTACTGCTGGCTGATGAGTGTGTTTTTCTGGGCTAGCCCTCCTTGTGTAGGCTTTTGTGGTTTTCTTTATTTCTTATTCTTTCCTTCCGTCATTGAACCGAAATTGGGATGAACTGTTAAATTTTATTCTTTCTAATTGTTATTCCACAAACCACGTAAGTCTGTTACTTTTTAGAAAAACTACTACTTAATAAAATAGTTCTGTTCTAACAGAACCATCATATAGGTAGCATCACTTGGCACACCCACTCATCAGTCGACCCACTCAAACTAAACTCAGATCAGGTGCTTAGTCTGAGTCAGTCCGGATGAGTTCTTGGTGAGTTTGAGTCCAAGTGAGTCCGGTTGAGGAAATTTTGGTGAGTGTTAACTTTTATTGCCAACCTGTGGTCTTATTTACTCCTCTCCAGCATTACTATCAGCTTTATATCAGCTTGCATTTATAGTCCAAAGTCTATTCACACGTCTCAATGCAATAGCATAAATGTGCCACTTAATATTTATTGATCAGAGGCCTGAGCTGAGAAGGTGCCTCACCCCACAAACTTTTTGGCACGAAGTTCTTGATAAAATAATCTCCTGTGAGTCACGTATTTGATAAAATTGTGCTTACTAGATTTAAACCACTGATAACTCGAATTTTAAGACACAAGTTCGAAAAGTATATAATGGAGCACCAAATATGTGACATATTGATGTTTAAAAGCATTCACACTGTGATTAAAAAAAGCTAGTTTTACACTAACAGACTTTTGAGTTGTCTCACTTGGGCTAACTCAGACTCGGGGCAAGCCATGAGTCTGGGTCTGGCCGAGTAATACACTGATGAATTTGGGTATGATTGAGCAAAAGCTTAGTCAGTCTGAGTCCTTTGGAGCAAAATATATTTTTTCTTAAGTGAGTCCGAGTGAGTTCCAATATCTTTGCCAGGTGATGTCCTGTAGTAAGACAAGAAAGGTTGCCTACTTGTCCATTATCTTAGCCAAAACATGAGGAATTGAGGGCACAGCTCGGCTATTCAAGTGAATGCACTTACTTTTATGTACCAACGTTGGTGGTTCACTGCTGAGTGAAAAAATCACTTGTTTGCATATTGCAGGGATTCCTAAACCTGCCCATCAGCCGGTGGTTGCGAGTGCTGATCACGCGGCTAATCGCCATCGCGCCCACCATCTTGTGCGCGGTCTTTGGCAACATAGAGCAGCTTTCTGGGATGAATGACCTGCTCAATGCGCTCATGAGCCTGCAACTTCCCTTCGCTCTCATCCCCACCCTGACCTTCACGACGTCAGCGGCATTCATGGGCGAGTTCAGAAACGGAACGTACGAACTTTTTTTACAAAGCTTAGACATCGTACGGGGCAGCGTGAGCTCTCTTTTGTATTTCATATTGTCATAGTCAAGCGAAACACTGGTTGAGCTGCTTTAAATAGAATATCTTTGAAAGGGGCCTTGCAGCACTTTTTGAACATGGTCAGAAAATGCTGCCAAGCTGAAGTGGGGCTCCTTTATAGTGCAGCGTGTGGCAGGGAAGTCAGAACGAATGTTCTAAGTCGGCTAGAAATCGCTTATGCTTCTCAACGAATGATGCTATATATCCAAGTGATGCCATATACTACCCAGAAGACAGTGCGTTTGGCTGGTTTGAACACTGTGAATATCATAATTATTGCTACCGCCGGGGGGGCCGGTAACGTGCCCACACTGTGGCACATTGCGGCGCGGGAGGTAAACCGTGTGCAATGAATATACATTGGTCATGTGTTTGTCAAAAAAAACAAAAACAGTGCTACATTTCATCCCCCTCCACTGCCTCACCTTTGTAGCGTTCTCACTGTGATGCAAGGAGAGAGAAAGCCCTTGTAGCGTGCAACGAACCCCTGCAACTACATTCGTACTTGACAGATTTTTAGATTTTAAAGTTTTTTGAGGCAGTTGGTTCATGACACAATAAACTCCAATAGTGAGGCCATTTTATCATCGTTTGGGAAGGCGTTGCAGAGCCCTTTTAGAGTTAGTATATTATACAGCTTTGTGTATGTGATTACCAAATACATTGTGGGTGTACATGCCGAGTTTATGCCGTGAACCACATCATACAGTGAATGTGGCAACAAAGAAAGCATTCCAGTTCGTGCTCTTTTGATTTTTTCATTCAGCATACATATGACATCTGTAATGCAAGCACATATCTATTTACCACGACAAAATCTTTTGCAACACATATCAAATTTAGTTTTTTAATTTTATAGTGAAACATGGATGTTTAAAACAGGATGGTGTATATTGATTGTTTTTTTTATATTTGTTTTTTAGGGGTGCCAGATAGAGGTAGAAGTGCTTTAAATGTAATCAGAAGGGTTCAGGTTACTGGTACTCAAAAATGCACATTAATTTAAAAGAATGCAGTCAAAAGCAGCATTGACTAATAGATCAGTGCTGAGGTGCATGCTATGTACAAGTGTTAGTGTGACAACTTGACAGACTTCTGCATTCTTAGCACTTCTCTCTAAGGAAAAAAAAAGTTGTGTATGTATCAATGTTACTTCATCTCAGATGCTGCAAGCATTGCTCAAGGACCAACATCACTGCACTTTTGGTTTTGCTTTCTGCTGCAGGTTGACCAAAATAGGTGCCAGTCTGCTGTCGATGGTTGTGATTAGCATCAACTTGTACTTTGTGAGCAACTTTGTGCACGAGAATCTTCCATCTCACTGGGCTGTGTACGTTGGAGTGGCACTTTTCGGGCTCCTGTACTTGGGCTTCAATCTATACCTGGTGTGTTTTCACCTTTTGGAATCATCCAAGATGCTGCAACTTATGCCTTACCAATATAGTTTCGCATACTAGCATGCCTTTTTTTAGACTTTGTGTCATCAAATGTAGAGTTAACATGTGTGTAATGAATTGAATGTAATGCTGCATTGGCCATGCTTATTTGACGTGGACTATCCAAGACTGTCTTCATGGTGTAGAGGTGAATACTTGTTTTTCTGTAGTTTGTCTTGTGTGTTCTGGTAGAAGAATACAGGAGTAGAGTACATTCTGGTGGCAGAACACCAAAAATAGGTACTCTTTCTGTGTGTGAATATAGATATTTGGTCAGTGGCTAGACTTGGCTGATCCGATCAATGACTGCTTTCCAGATTCTGTTTGATCTTACTAATTGCATATTTGCATATTGACAGTCATGCGATGTGCATTTGTAATTTGAAGTTGTTTATGTGCCATGTATTCAGATCTGTGGACAATGAACATTGGGACTGTGCATGGGTAGATCGGGTTAACTGTTTATGTCAAGGGCTGTGCCTAAAATGGAAGAACAGTAACAGTTTTTGAGATACTGCTGGACTGGGAAATTTATTCATCACTTGAAGTTCCTGTATTTTTGAAGAAAGAACCTCACTTTTTATTTGGACTTTTACACCGCTGCTAAGCCGATATTCATGCCAAAAACATTTATGCTGAAACACTCCATGCACTTTCAATGAAATGTAACCTCTCTTAATTTCCTCTGTAATGTAAGTTGGGCTCTCTATAATTAATTAAAGTCTAGTTCTTGTTCAGTTACAGAGTTAACTCTATGTAGGTAAATATTTTCCAGGGTTCTGTGTAATGTTATGCACCAACTTTATTTATCTGCTTGTAACCACTGCTGGCTCTTTTTTTCTTTGTGTAGTGCCAATATGATCAGTGTGTTACATAGATTATCCTGTGGAAATTATCACACAGTTTATAACCTGGTCCTTTTCTTGTGGAAACGTTTCTAGATCCAGACACAGTTGTATGGTTGTGTATGTGATCTACACTAGTTTCAAGGCTGTCACGTGCACAAACATTCAGCTGTGCTAGTCTCAAAACTAGTGTAGACCACACGCAAGACCAGTCTTTTACTGCTTTTCGTACAATTGAAAGATGAGTGCTTCCAGTAGTAAGTACAATTCAGAAGTGCAGTGACCATCATCTAATAAACCTGCAAATGTCTTCCAGTTGGCCCACCTTTTGGTTGTGTTTGGCTGCACGTTACTGCTTCAACTTCCTGTGAGTTACTGTTCCTTAAACGCCTCGTGCATGCTCTATTTGGAAGAGTAAATTGCATGCATTGTTGCAATTTTGCAGTTCGTTGGCCCGCATCTCAAAGAGCGCAGTGACCGGGTGCTGTTTAGTGACTCATCTCAGACGGACATGTCGTCATCTCCTGGTAAGATTGATTCTCTCGTGTAACTCTTAAATCCTGTTCTCGTGATTGCTTGGCTTTATTATTCCTTGTAGAAGTTTTCTGCACATTTTGATTAGGGTCAGGCTTCTTTATTGTGTATTTGTGAGCAACACCAGTCATCACTTTGGCTGCATTTAGACAACTAATGTGGTGTGATAAGGCATTATGCTTCTGTTTGTTTGTTTGTGTTTGCTTAGAAAAATTTTATCGTTCCTATAAACAAGGCATGAACAAAGCATATAAAATGCTAGGGATGGACTTGTAGCAGTTTGTCTCAGACGAACAGTCCTTCTCGTGGAACGTAGCTTTGTGCGAGTCTTCCTTTGTTTATTAGAATGATTGGAGGGTGATGGAATGGCTGCAGAGCTTGTACTGGATGCTATTTAGCTTGCTGTTCATAGCTCACTTTTCATTGAATATTCGAGGATTTTAAAGTTGCTTAGTCCAGAAATCTAAAAGGTTCAAACAAATTTAATTTATCAACTAAATACAATGTTTAATGTCTTTCTTTTTTGCAAGTGCAGAAGCTTGGGTTAGTTGGTCTGGGTTCTTTTTTCTATTCTGTCCCACTTTTTTCCTACATTCTCGCACTGTGAAATTTGCCATCATGTCTTTCTCTTGTATTTCCTTGTAATATGCAATGTCGCAGCTATCTTCCTTATGAAGGCTAATGTTATCTCGAGTTCTGACAGTTTGTCATTGTCATTTTTTCCCCCCTGGATTACCTGCTGCTGTCCAGATATTGTAAGTAGCAAGGAGAAAATATAGGAGTTCGCACTGGCAATGCTCGGGGATGAGGCCAAATGCACCGTGCACTTGTACACTGTGTCTGCTCTATTCTTCCTCCAAAGAAGGAAGAAGAAAGGGGCATGAGGTTTCGGTCTAATCTTTATTAGTAACGTGCATGAGTCTGTCAAAATTGCTGTGTTATGCATGTGGACCCACTTCAGTTTATTTGGTGACCCAGCATTAAAATTATCTTAATTTGCACATGAAAAAATCATTTTTGCTTCTTGTAGTTTTAATTTGATGGATCCATGCAATGCCAAATGGTTTCTCCGACTCTTGCACTTTGCATTGAGGGGGCCTTAGGGAGTGTTCCATATTGAAAGGGAACACCTACAGAACATCTCATGGCATATGTCCACTGTCACTGGTAATTACTTGAAAAATTTGCTTAGTGTTACTCTCTGGCTACCGTTAGTCTTGTTAGATTTTTATTGTTTGGTACAGTTAATTCAATCCATTTAAAATAACACCAGTCATTACATACTGTAACAGTTGAGTTGAGGATATCCACCTTTTCACCCGATTATATGCAGCATTAACCCTTTACTGTGGAGTGTCGTTAATTTGCGACATAGCGAAAAACTTCGAACAATGTCACAAAGTGTTTGATACGTTTAAGGCCGGTTTTCAGGTACTCGTGGAGAACGTAGCTTTCAGCATGAGAAAGCTAGAACTGTCTTGTGTAAGGTATTCTATGCTAGAACTAAGTTTTGTAGCTTATGGTGAAGATCACGAAGCATGTGCAGCAGCTTTCACTTCTTTGTTCTTGCTCGTCTGGGTAACGTAAGTTTTATATTCAATAATTTTGTTTACTTGGTGTGTACACACTCAAGAACTGCGACATGACATGTTATGTAGTTCTGAAGTGCAGTTTTTGTCGCAAATTCCTTGCTTCTGTGGCACATTGAGAATTCGCAACATACTTAAAAGTATGCATTAAAGTTGCATGTTAGATAAATTAACTACAGAATCAATTAAAGGTTGCTGTTTAAAGCTGTAAAATTAAACTCTTATTTTATTCTGAGGTTTCATAATTCAAACATTAAAGGGTTAGAAGTCTCATAATTAATTCATCTAACTTATTGAATGTGATGAAAGATAGATTGTGCCATACGACAGCCACTTTCCGCAAAAATTGAAGATGAAATGAAATTGAAATTTGCAAGAGCAAACATTGCATATGGAGGCTGAAATTATGACAGATGGCTTGGCAATGGTACCATGTGATGTAGTCAGTAGTATTAGTCTTCATTCAACTAAGTGGACTTGAAGCACAAACCAAGTACAGAGCTAGACTTTCTCGTGTTTTCTCGGTGCTTAGCACACTTCCTTCTTTAGTTGTTGTGCTCCGTATCAAACTATTGGTTCTTTCAAATCTGATTAGACCAGGTATTCTTTTTCATTGCAAAAGTATATAAGTTAATGTGTGTAACTGCATTTTTCAACATTAAAAGTATCTTCTTTATCAGTGTATATTACAGAAAGAAAATCCGTTGGTTACTGAGAAAAACTGCTCGAGTTGAAAATGGGTACGACCAAATGCATTGCTCACCATTGCTATTCTGCATGAATTTAGAGTTTTGGCAGATCACTTCACAGATTCAAGGAAGTTTCTTGAACAAACAAGTAAAAATGACAAAACGTTTTTATCTGTATGTCTGTAATTTTGTGCTGCTGACCGCTGATGTTGCTTTTCATTGCACCAGTGTTGGCTCAGTGATCTTCAGTAAACATAAAATGGGGCATTATTAATGTGTGGATGGATTCTCTTCGCCACTGTAAAACTTGGCAGTGAATCACTTGAGTGCTGACGGGCTACTATGCTGAGCTACTCTTTTTTCGTGTGTGTGTGTGCACCTTTCGCCTATACAAAAGCACATACATACTAGGTACCCACCACTTCTGTCAGTAAAACATTATATTTTTTGTGCCCAACACGCATGCACTCATTGTTGCACTTGCTTTCTACATGGAACTGTTGTGCCATGCTCTTGTCTTAATGCACGGCTCTTGTTGTGTGTTTTTGGCAGCCACTGCAGCCTGTTGTTTGTAGCGTCACACCCTGGGCTGGGTTAATGCATCGATTTTCTTCAGATTTTCTTTCTTCTCCTTCTTGATCATATGTTCATGGGGTACTTAGTCTGTGTTATGGCCACGGTTTGGTCGGTCACATGGTGACGTAACCATGTGGCTATCTTTGTGCTCATGCAAGAATGCCAAGCAGTGGAAATAATCTGAAGTTCCATGCTTTAGCATGCCTTATAATCACTCTTTATAATTCAAAATTTTGATAATTGGTCAGTAGGGTGCCGTTCTAAGCTATATATGAATAGAACCGACTGAAAGGCACCACTGCATTATACTGGTCCCATCTTGCACGCAGCAGTAACTTTCAAGTGCTTGCTGCTCATTGATTGGTTGTTGTAAGTGCTTGTTACTGTTCTCTCTTTAGCTTCTATGAGTATGTTGAAATGTCATGTCTTTCCTTTACAATAATAGTGAAGGAAAGAAAAGACTGGTGTGCATCAAGTGTTAAGGCGTACTGCCACCTGTTGCTGTGACGCTTTGTGGAGGGAGGGTAGATTTACGGGCACAATCCTCCTTCTCTCGCTTGTGCTTGGCTTAACAGTGGCCGTTTCTTCACTTTCTGTTCCATTCACCAGGTGAACTCGTACCAGTTAGTACCCACTTCTGGTTAGTATCAGCTCCTTTGTTTTCTGTGTCTGCCCGCTCAATGTTTATCTTTGCTTTTTTTTGTTGTGTCCTCATCACTGGTTAGAGTAGTGGATAATAGGGCATGTTTAAACATCAAATGTCCTCTAGCGCTTTGTAACCGTATCTTATGTCATGCTTGTGTTTCTTCACCAGTCTTTTCGTTACTTCCACCGCTGTCTGGTAGCTATTATTGTAATCCAGACACTGGTGTTGCATACCGTAAAATGGTGAAGGATAATTTGACCAGATTTGCTAAGGTGTGTTGCCAGGCTAGTTGGTTGGGGTTCATCATTCATATGACTTTAGCACATCACGGCAAGAACACAGAAGAGATGCACACTGTGCTGTGTGTGTGTTTCCCTTTTCTGTGTCCTTGACATGGTGCGCTATAGCTATATGAATGACTAACACAATCACATTTGGGAGAGGAGTGCTCGCCCAGTCTCAGACCGAAATTCAAGATGGTTGCAGGAGAGCCGCTAAAGATAAAACATGTCCATTCATGTTTCTAATGAAATGCTTTATTTATAAAGCAGTTTATAAACAACATTAGATATGTATTTAGTGTACTCCTTCTTGTGGCTCTTTGTAGCACAAGCTGTGTTCACCTTGAAAAAAAAAAAAGGCATTACCACAGGGGAGGAGGGCAGGGGGCAGGAGGGGAGGGGGAGCTTGCTTGGTCATTGGCACTTAATTCAGATCTTCCAAAAAAGGGACGAGGTTCTCGCTCGGGTCAGACCGTTTGCTCCGTATTTTAGGGTATGTTCAACTTACAAGGCCCTTTTGTTAGGCTTCTTTAGAAACATTTGAATGCTGCTGTTTGTGGCTATTTGCTGAAAACAAAGTTGGGAATACTTCTGCTGAAAGTGAAAAAAAAAAAAACTAATTTAGGACAATAATACAAATCAAAATATAAATGAACGAGGAAAGCGTATACAGAAGGTCCAGGCTGCATGTTGCCTCCTTGCTTTATTTATGCTTCTTTGGGTCTTTTGTTGTCAATGAGTAATTAACAGTTGTATAACACAGTGCATCTGTGAAAGTGTCTAATAATGCAAAAAGCCTTAAAGTTTTTCTAGTTCGCTTACTTAGCAGTCAGGTCGTGTATTGAGACCTAACACCATAGGTCGGCGAACTCACTCATGAGTTGACTCACTCAGATCGAGCCGTGAGTCTGAGTCAGTAATTTGTTCGTGAGTGTGAGTCCAAAGCAGAAAATGTATTTCCTGAGCGAGTTCCACTTTATTTTGCCGACCTGAGCATAAACCCATTAGTTTTGTACCATGAATGTGCTTGCCTATGCGGCTTAATATTACACAGTTGTTCCTGCTTCATTATAAGTCTGGCTTTTAATGTGATGTGTGCTGCATTTATGTGCTTTAATATCTCCGATGGTGTGATAGGTTTTGGATCAATATATAACCTGCCATATCAAGAACAGCTCTGACCTTAAAAGGTGCATCAGGACCTTCTATGTGTATTGTGTAAACCTTCTATGTGTATTGCAATATACAACGTTTAAAATTGTAACGGGGAAACAGATGTATATGAGAGTGTCAAAGATTTAGACTGTGAAATCTCAAAAAAAAAAAAAAAAGCTAAGTATAGTACATCCACAGCCCAGGCACATAACCTCTTATATTTACATTGCAATCATGAGCTGCAGCAACAGACTGTTTATAAATTAATCATTTTGCCAAATCTTGTGGTTCACAATTATTCACTCTTGAATGTACATAGCTTGTTGCTTTGACTTAGCATTTTTATATACTGCCGATTATGAAGTGCACATTGTCTTTATTTTATGTCTCTTGCAGAGTGATTGCATCCTCCATCGACATGTCCACAACTGAACGAATTGGGTTGTTGAACTTGCAATTGAAGAGCGTTGGCGTTTCTGTGAATGCGACGTTGTACATAGTGATTTAGTACTGTCCCTTTCTGTGTGCTGCCGCTGGAATCTGTCCGCACAATTTTATCGACGTAACTCGAATAATGCACAAGAGAATATTTATTAATGGCAGTGTTTCTCCATAATTATGGAAACACTGTGGACAGTTAATAAACAGATGTGCTCTTATAATATTACTACGGCATGAGCTAGGCATGAAGAAGAGAAAAGTTATTTTGTCAAAAAACTTTACCATAAAGAACCCCAGGTGGTCAAAATTTCCGGAGCCCTCCACTACGGCGTCTCTCATAATCATATGGTGGTTTTGGGACGTTAAACCCCACATATGAATGAATGTATATGAAAAAACTTTACCATATTATATATATGGTACTTATATATTTTAGTATATTCAATGCTAGTTGAGATGTTTGATGAAACATGGAATTATCCAGACGTAGTTATTTTTAATAAATTTCTGTTGATGTTTTTAAATCTCGTGTTCTGTGTGTTTCGTCTACACTTTCCTCACAGTTGCACATACTCCTGCGTATTCCGCATTTTGTCATACACACAGCAGTAATGATAAGTAATCCACAAGAACAATCCAGGCCAAGCATACTTTGCTTCTTGTTCTCTTATAACAAGGTAAGCATGGTAGCTTTTGTAAAAGTTATTATTATTATTATTATTATTGAATGTACATACACATTAATCAGTAAAGCTTTTCTTGGTCCATTGAAACACAGATATGTGGGAAAAAGAAAAACATTTAACTTGACATTTCAGCCGAGGTGAGTACCTGCCTGTAAATAATAGCGAGTGTTCACTCTAAAGTCAACAGTGGCTAGCACAGCACATTGGCTGTCTGAACCGGTTTGAAGAAGTACCGTGTCATGTGATCACTTTTTTTGTTTTTTTGCTAAGACCTGTAGACACGTTAATTGTGCAGTGTTGAACCCTTCTTAGTGTATGGAAAGGTGTTCCAAGTAGCCACAATTTCGTCACACCTTGGTAGCTTGGAGGACTAGCATGCAGTGTCTGCTTTTCCAAAGAAAGTCGAGGCTTTCTACCGACAAGGCGCAAAGTCTTCCATCATTTTTTTGCTTGGGGCAAAAGATCCATCGAATTGTTTCACTCAATGTGTTAATTAGCATCCGCTATACCTAAAGGGCATTTTTATGGTCATACATGGTTCTTGGCATAACCCTTCTCTCTGGTGTTACAACCACCCCCAAGGCTATAACTCCGGAATCAGCTGTGCACTGCTGCTCACTTGGAACGAGTCCTCATTTACCTCATGCTTTAGTACTGCCGAGGGTCGGCACTGATATCGCTTCTCATTATGAGATTACCTTCTGCCCCATCAACAGTGAACTGCAAGCATTCCCTAGTCACTAAATAAACAGGAAACGCTTGGAAAACAGTTTGGAAAAACAAAAAAGGTTTGTGCAACCGTACTTGTATAGCAGCTATCTATGAGAGAGAAGTAGTGAGCATATGCAAACGAACGAGGCCTCCCTGTTTTGAAAAAAAAAAAAAAAATGTGGACAGAGCCCTTATGTGGGAATACCAATATATGCCAATTTAAAGATCATCGTCGTCGAAGGAGCTGTTTTGGTTGGTCGTCATGACAGCAATCTACCAAGTGCTTGTCCGTGCTCTCCCAGGTGCATTCTAGCCCGGCCGCCAGTTTACAAAGGCGAAAGAGCTGGAGAAAAAAGGGGAAGGCGCATAGATTTTCTTAAAATTATATTAGGGAACTCTATGGGAAGGCGTAGCATAGGTGTTCAGGACAGTGGTGGTAGTTACTTGGAAGAAAGAGACACTGTTTCTGCAACCTGAAAGACTAAAAAAAGAGGGGAGGGGGTGCTACTAGCTACCATAGTGCTACAGTGACTAGAATCACTGGCAAGGTTCCTTTTGGCGTTGCATAAACTTGTTGCCAGACTTTGGGGTGGTTGTTGCCAGATTGCCGCTAAATTTGGCAAAAAAAGTTTTTTTTTGTAGTTGTAGCTTTTTTGCAAGAGTTTGGTGCTATCCGCGGTGCACTTCTTGGCTGAAAATTTTTTTTCTGTAGTTGTGGCTTCTCCGTAAGAATTTGGTGCTATCCGCGGTGCATTTCTTAGCCGAAAATTTTTCTTCTGTAGTTGTGGCTTCTCCGTAAGAGTTTGGTGCTATCCGCGGTGCATTTCTTGGTTGAAAATTTTTCTTTTGTAGTTGTGGCTTCTCCGTAAGAGTTTGGTGCTATCCGCGGTGCATTTCGCGAGTGCATGAGCGACGCTGGCCGTTTTAATTAACGGAATGAACCGAGCCTAGCAGAAGTCGAGTGTGGTGCTGCCGTGCAATTAAGAGGCCGTTTTAATTCCGTTTTAACTAACGGAATGAACCGCGCATTACAGAATTCGTTTTATTTACGGAATGTACCGCGCCTAGCAGAAGTCGAGTGCGGCGCTGCTGCGCAATTAAGAGGCCGTTTTAATTAACGGAATGAACCTCCCATTACAGAAGTCGAGGCGCGTTCTCTTGCTGTGTGCGCAGCTGTGCGATTAAGATATCGCGTCTCAGTATTAGGGATGACGGGGAAAACTGAATAGAGTCGCAGGAGGTGATGCGCTGCCCCCCTCCCCCTTACTTTTCTTTTTTCTTTTTCTCTCAGCTGATCGTGTCGCGTCGACCGCGCGCTACAACGGGGGACGCTACGCTTCCCCTAGCTGTGTCAGCACAAGACATATCGTTCGGACTCGTGTATACATGTGATGAATAAGCGTTCCAAGGCTGGTTAATCGGGATACGTCGGATATGCTACAGCTATGTACGCCTGGAAGGCTGCTTTATCGAAGCATATGGAGCGAATTAAGCGCGACTTGCGCGTACCTGTAAATGGGACCCGGCCGACGAGCCACCGTCGCTTACAGGGCCCCACCCACAATAAGCACAAACTACCAAAATTCCAAATAATGATTGTGTATTGTTTCTCAGCTCAAGAGTTTAGTATACAACAATAAGAATAAAATGGCATAATAAACATAATAATAACAATAATAATAATACAACATAACGACAACATAAACATAAGAATAAAATGACAATGTGTCTCACTACGCTCTAATTACAATTAAACTGGATACCGAGGATACCGAGGATACCAACGAGACGACTACCTCACTTATGCCGTCTCACCAGGCGAGGTGAGACGGCATAAGTGAGGTAGTCGTCTTGTTGCTGTTGCGCACGAGACGGCGCTTGGCCCTTTGCCATTCACTTTCAATCACGGAGGAAGGAAAAAGGTTCCGTGCTTTCAATCCTTTGCGTGTTGGCGCCTGTCGTAGGATCAACGAAGTTGACACTGTGGTTCACGGTGTGCCAGTCCAAGTTTAGCGGTGTTCCGTTGGCATCCACAAGTCCACTGGTACGCGGCCCACTCGTCGCTGCACACCGTCGTCCCGGGAAGAATGTGCTGCCGGTTGAAGCTATGGCGCAGGCGACAGTCCGATTTCACGAAGGAATTAAGGCCTCTTCCGCGGCAGGGTACCTTATGATGTCGGCGATTTCGACAATGCTGGGGTCTATCCGTGGCGTGGCCATGACGAGACGCTTCCTGAACTGGTAACAGTGTAGCTTGCATGGCTAACGTTACGGCATTTTATAAGGGTCATGAGGTGAAAGGGGGATAGACCGCTCTAACGTTGACAGGGCGCCTACGTAATGCAGCATCAGCGGGGAAAGAGGGGGTGGGTCACGGCGCCGACGTGGCGCGAGCATCGGCGGAGAAAGAGTGGATGGGCCACGGCCCTAACCACGCGAGCACCTGCGGAGAAAGACGGGATGGGCAAAGACACCTGGAACCAAAAAAACATAAAAAAACCTTTTTGGACCTCTACCGTTGGTTGACATAGCGCCGAGTCCCGACGCCACGCAAGTGTCTGGGGAGAAAGAGGGGGTGAGCAAAGACGCCTGGAGTAAAAAAAAACATAAAAAAACCTTTTTGTACCTCGAACGTTGGTTGACATGGCGCCGACGCGACGCGAGCATATATGTGTGAAAATGCGGGATAGGCGAAGACGCCTCGAATCGTACAACACCTAGGTCACGTACTCCACTTCGGTGCCCCTCCTCCACAGCAACGGTGACTTGAGCGGGAGTGCGAACGACGTTACGTGATGCTACGTGATGTGACCCACGTATCACGTAAACAGTACACCACCCAGGGCACGTACTCCACCTCGGTGCATTGGGCGTCGACACACGGCCAAACTTGCTCACGTAAACCTCTTAAATTTCCTTATTTGGTGCTCCCTATCTCGATTGCAATCCCCAAGCTTTAGGATCGCGATCCTTATGAAATGCCGTAACGTTAGTTGTGCAAAGTACATTGTCACCATTTCAGGAGCCGTCGCGTTATTGGACTGTCGAAGACGCCATCGCTTCGAGTGGCAGTTCGACCTGCAGACAGTCGGGAACAGCACAGAAGGGGCCGCCGACATCCAAGTGATGGCGAATTCGCAAGGACCTCGGCTTAATTATGGTGACCCAGGATGCAGTAAGTCGTCACGTACAATCGCCCCGGCAAAAAAAAAACGAGCAGACCCACTGTTTCAGAAGGACCAGAGAGACCGCAGAACCGATACGTCTTCGGTTTATTGTTGACAGAACAGAAAAAAAAATATATGCAGAGCGTGACCCTGGCTACTTCTTCTTCCTCGCCTCCGAGCTCCATCTTCAATCTGTTTTCTACATCTTCCCGCCGGCCAGATTCAACCGAAGCAACCTTCGAGCGAATACAACAGTTGAATCGGCCTCTTGACTAATTTTCCTTCAGGTGTACGAAGCAAGCATGTTCTCACTAGTCCATCCTTGCCTGGGAAAATCTTTTCGACCTTGCAGAGTTTCCACTGAGTTCTTTTTCGCGCTTCTCCAAGCAGAAGTACATCTCCTTCTTGTACATTTGTGTGACGCTCTGTTTTTCTGCTGGCACACTTAAGCTCCCTCAGGTACTCATTTTTCCATCTGGTCCACCATGTTATCATTGCCCGTCCGTTTTCTTGCACTCCAGTAATCCAGCAAACTGTATTCTCCGAGTCTGTTTTCTTCCTGCTTGTTCATTGCTTGCCTGCCTCCTATAACGTCCGCCGGTGTGATGGGTTGTGGCTCGTTAGGATCGTCATACACATAAGTGAGAGGCCGGTTGTTAAGTACTCCTTCTGCTTCAA